GGTCTGTATAAGACCACCCTCTCCCCTGCTCTTCTCTTTTTCCTCTTCCTTTCTTCGTCTCTTCTTCTTCTCCTCCTCTTCCTCTTCTGTCCTTCCTCAGGCGCCCTTTCGCCTCTTTTATATCTCCTGTTGGGTGCCCTGGTGTGTGGCATGGTCGTTGAGTGCCCACGGAGCTCTAACAATTCTTAGCTTGGTCTTAGTATTTATATATATATATGCATTTATATATGCATAATGCAAGAGGAGAAAATAATATGTAAAAAAGAAGCTAAAGCAATGAAAGAATTGTTGTTATGTGCCATCGATTCTGCCCCAACTCATAGCGACCTTTCCTTGGGTTTCTGAGGCAGTATCACTATGGAAGTAGGATTGCCCAACCTTCCTTCGGAGGAATTTAGGAAAAACAAGATGAGGTGAAGTATGAATGTAGCATATAGATAGCATGATGAAGAAACAAATTACTCTCTTAACTGCTTTTTCTTGTTTTCTGTGAACATATTTAATCCTTATCTTTCTGTCCTCCTGATGTCTTTTTAACTTTTTTATTGGAATGAATTAAAATACTTTTTACAAATATTTATTGAGATTTAGTATGTCAGGTACAGACACAGTTGGAGTCGGCAAAGCACAAGTAAATGTATTCACAGAAAGATAAAATCAGTTAGTTACAAATAAAGTATAAATGGGACGGTATTTTAGTAGGTGGAAAGGAGTAAGTGAGATTGGGGGAAGGGAGGGAGCAAATTACGTAGAACTTGGTTAGCCATTTGCATTTTATTCTAAGTACAATGGTAAATTGTTAGATACTTGATATTTCATTTGCTGAGCTGAAAGGAGTTGGTAAGAAGTAGTAGGGTAGAATACAAACTAGGAAAACAATAACATGATGAAATTATGGTGGTTTAAACTATGGTTCTAAATGAATGAGTCTTAAGGTTAGTTTAGGGTAAGAAAGGTATTAATTAGGTTGAAACCCAGAGCAATGTTTTAGATATGATAACTTTGAGTGCTTACTAGACATTCCATTGCAAATGAGTTGGAATAACTGTCTGGGTTGGCATTTTAAAACAGAAAAAGGTACTTGCCTTAACCTTTAGAAATGAATGAAAAAGAAAAGAATGAGATTGCCTACTGAGAGACAGTGGAACTGGAATACCAAAAAAAAATCAGACCAAACCCACTGCTCTCCAGTTGATTCCAACTCATAGCAACCCCTATTGGGTTTCCAAGGCTGTAAATCTTTACAGAAGCAGAATGGAATAAGGGACCAGAATTAAAATTGAAGCACCCCCAAATTCAGAAGTTCAAGAGAATATGGAGCCAAAAGCAGGGCATTGAGAAACAGACCAATGAGGTGGGAGTGATATCAGCTATAGAAGCTTGACGACAAGGAGGAAAATGTTATAGGAAGAAAGGCATGATCAACTATGTTAAACGGCTACTGAGTTTGCTCACTTTGGTGACAGATCAGTTTTTTCAGAGGAGTAGTTCAGAACTTGTTTAGGGAGGAAGACAAAGGAAGCCACAGAGTTGAAATCCCCAAGCAGTGTATAGAACTGGGGCAAATCTAAAAGCCAAGTGACAAGTAGAAAATGTTTGCAATTTATTTAATAGGCAAGGGACTGTTTCTTTAATGTATAAATATCTCTTAAAATTGAGAATAAAAATGTCAAAACATCTGATCGAAGAAAATGGGTAAATGGTTCAAACATGGTTCATAACAAAAGAAATGAAAAAGACTTTTAGCCATACGAATATGAAAGTCTTATTCATAATAAAATAATTCCAAATTGAAAGTATATTAAAATCTTTGTATTTTAGTATTTATGGAAGCATTAAATATATGTAATGAGTATAAAGAGATATAGATATTATAAATCTATCTATCTATACAATATATATACATTTCTTAGTAACCAAGTGAGTAAAATTCAGTTTGATAGTTTTCTCAGAAATTGTTTAGAGTACAAAATTGTACTCCAGAATTGTAAGTAAAATTATAGGTGCATTTACTTTTAGAAATAGCAATTCTACTTTTAGAGAATATGTCCTTTAAGACCACAGTTATCAACTTTTTGGTCCCAGGACTTCTTTACATTCAAATTATTGATTTAGTTTACAAACTAAAACATAAAGACCACAAAACATTCCCATTATTGATGAAGATTCCAGTAAGCTTTTGTTTATGTGTGTTACAGCTGAAAACATAATTTTTGAGAAAAGTAACAAAGTTTTACAGTTTTGCAATTATCTTTAATTTCTGATTTATAAAAAGACAGGTATTTTCTAATATCTCTTTTACCATCTTGTCTATTGCAATATATTGTTTACTAACATGTTATACATATATTGTATATTCAATATATTATGTATATGAAGAAAATCTAATCTCTGGGTAATTGGAAAAGCTCCTAATAGCTTTTTCAGATAATTATGATTTTTTGTTTTTGTTGTTCCAAGAGTGCGATCAATTAACATTTTGTTTTCTATTACATTAAAATCTATTGGTCTTATACTTTGAATCCAAATTTTGCAGCATTTATATCATCATCCACTCACCAGCATTTGGAAAACGTTGATTCATTTAGTTTGCTGACCTAAATGTTGACATATTTCATTATACAATTTTAAAAAAAGTCTTATTAGTATCACCATAAGTTTCATCAGAAAAAAAATAAGTACTGGAAAGCTGTCAAGCTTACAGTACTGGATACAGGTTTTCCAAAATTTTGATATTTCTTTAAGAGCTCAGGTTTTATCATTGACAACTAATCTTTCAGCCGTTTTCCTTGAAATGACAGAGTCATTTTGATAAGTTTTGAGAAACTAACTTCTAGATTACCAAATCTGACTACCATAGTTTGTCAAAGTTGTTCTATCAAGTTAAAATGGTGTATGAAATAAAGTGTCTAGTGCAGCTTGCAACTAAATCACAGGTATACTTTCTCTTGAGACAGCCATTGCATTTCCATATTCAGCATAAATGATTCATGCATATTTCCCAGAATATTAAATATTTTTATTAAATGAATCTGATACTCAAGAGGGAGCTCTGATGGAGTATTGCCTAAGGCATTTGACTGCTAACCAGAAGGCTGGTGGTTCAAACCCACCAGCCACTCCTCAGAAGGAAGATTGGGCAGTCTATTTCCATAGAGATACCACCTTGGAAACCCAAGAAGGGGTTGCTATGAGTTGGAATCTACTTGATGTCATTGAGTTTTGTTTTTGTTTTTGTTTTTTGTTTTTTTTTAGTTTGGTAGTCAGGTGTTGAGATGTAATGTTTTACACTGTTTCTGCAAGACATGAGGATATTCTTAAGGAAATTTGGCTATTTTTAAAAAACTGGGAGTATGAAAGTATATAGAGATAAAAAGTACGAGTGACTACAAGTATAATATTGTTTGGTGCCATTTCCTTGATTAATAGTAAAACTCCACCAGCTTTATCTATCAACGTAAATATGAATACAAGGAAAATGGCAAGGCAAGTCCTGGGAACTATACTTTAAAAACTGCTGCTTTGAGATGTCCATCAACAAAACAAAAAACATCATATGCACAAGATTAACCAACTTCAAAATTATGAAAATATTTTATATGTTAAATAAAAAGGAAACAAATAATGGAAAGACAAGAAGTCTGGTAATGGCAAATAGTTTGAGTAGGAGTGAGAGGATGAGGGACAGGGGAAAGAGTTAATAAATTTAAGAAAGAATGGGAGTTCTGAAAGGAGTCAGGTTGATGAGTTTCAGGTGATATTCTCAAAAGTGCTGGTTAATGAATAGGAATGGTGACAAATGTTAATGGACTAGAGGAGTTTGAGAAATTACTGCTTGGTTTCGTGATGTCACCCAACAATGCAATTAGATAAGGAAACTAAATCAACTAAGGTAGTTCTTATTGGTGAAGTGTCCCAAAATTCAATAAGTAATATATATTAACAATAATAAATAAACCACTGCCATCAAGAGGATTCCTCACAGTGACCCATTTTAGGACAGAGTAGAACTGCCCCATGGGGTTTCCAAGGCCATAAATCTTTATGGAAGCAGACTTCCTAATCTTTCTTTCCTATGCCCTGTGCTGGATGGCTAACCTTGTAGTTGACATTCCAATGCTTTAATCACTACACCACCATCGTTCCTTTTTAAGAATGTACAGTACTTAAAAGAATGTATTTTGAGAGATGGTACATTTGTTGATGAAAGGTCTAAACTGTCTAAACAGAATGGGAATGTAGGAGATTTAGAGATCCTCTGTTTTCTAAAAGAAACTAAAACAACCAAGGAACTGAATGGTACAAAGCCCAGTTTCTCTATTTTTGGAGAGTGTTTTTGGAATTCATATTCTAGGTTTTTAGGTTTCTTTTCTTTTTAAATATCCTTTAGTATCTAGGACTACACTGAGGCAAGCCACGCAGTTTGGCCCAAAATTTAAGAAGGCACTCAAGGAACCTTTATCTCCTTAACTTTGGAACCCAGTGCTTTTCTCCCTTAAGGAGGCACCAAAAAGGCCCTCATTTCCAGGGTGATGGAAGTGCTGGTAAAGTGAGTACCTCCTTAACTGTTGCGCCTTTTGAACTCACATCGCAGCTCTCTAGTCCCGGAAATTCCATCAAACATTACTTAGAGCAGTGTGTTCTACAGAGTGTCATTTTTAGTGACTTAAAGGTAAATGTTGTGTTATGCTGTCGGTTGTAATTAATTTTCAACTTAATTGCTTAAAATTGTTAGAAAACTTGAGAGAGCCTTTTACTTTTAGATCATTGGTGTGACTCTTTCCGCCTCTTACCCAAGCATGCCTGCTGAGAAAACAGTTTGATTCGAGAAGTACAAGATGCCCGCATGAGCTATTTCTTTGGACCTTTAACGCTAGTGCCAATACAGACTACGCCAGAACATGGAGAAAGCCCCACAATCTTTTCCTGTTCAGAGTGCCGGGGAATATGACGCATCGGAAACAAACCTAGGGACACCTGCCAGGGTGTTCATGAGGGTCAATCCCAGTTTACAGCAAAAAGTCGCAAATTTCTACTGTGAGAAACCCCTGGAACCACCACAGCTGTTCTGTGATGATGACAAAGTGACACTTTGTGTCAAATGCACCCCATCCCAGGAACACAAACACCACATGGTGTATGGAGTGGAAGAGGCAGCTGAGAATTACAGGGTAAGCTTCATATGAAGATCCTAGAGTACTGTAAAACCAAAAAAACAAACTCACTGCCCTCGGAGTCGATTCAACCCAGCCACCCCTCCTTGGGTTTATGAGGCAGTATCTCTACGGAAGTAGATTGCCCAATCTTCTTTCCGAGGAGTGGGTGGTGGGTTTGAACTGTCAGCCTTATGGTTAGCAGTCAAATACCTTAGGCACTATGCCACCAGAGCACCTTAGAATACTCTGGCCGCCTCTTATTTATTTAATTTGGATACTGATATGCTGTTCCCCTTTCGATCATTCCCTTAGTTAATGTTTATCGAAGAATGTAAGGCATACTACGTTTAACCATTTAGCTTCAATGCTAAATAACAAAAAAAAAAAAAAAAAAAAAACCTATAGGCAGACCTTTCAGAAAGATCTTGAGTGTCTCAAATGTTTAATTGCCACACTACTAACTGATAGCTTGGTGATTTGAACCTACCCCCCCAAAAAAAAAAAAAAAAAAAAACTCACTGCTGGAGAGTCGATTTCAGCTCATAGCGACCCCTCCTTGAGTTTCCGAGGTGGTATCACAACGGAAATAGATTGCCCAACCTTCCTTCTGAGGAGTGGCTGGTGGGTTTGAATGCTCAGCCTTGTGGTTACCAGTCAAATGCTTTAGGCACTACTCCATCAGAGCTCCCTTGAGCCCACCCAGAGTTATTCGAATCCACCCAAGGGTGCCTCAGGAGACAGATGTGGAGATCTGCTTCTGAAAAGTCACAGCCATGAAGACTCTATGGAGTACCGTTCCAGTCTGCTTAGATGGGTTCACCATGTGTTGGAACTTTTTTTTTTTTTTTTGGTTATTTATTTATTTTCAGGTTGACCTTTCAATTGTCTAAAGTCATGAATTTTCTGTTTTACACCAATTTATTTAGCTGGAATTCTGTGTTATATTTCTCTACAGAAGTTGTTTCAAGAGCTATTGAAGGCATTGAGGAAGAAACTTGAAATAGCTAAAATCATGTTGGCTGATGAACAAGAAAGAATGGTGATGATTCAGGTCAGTGCTTATCTTCGAATGTGGGTGGAAAATTACCAGTAATGTCAGATAGATAGCAAATAATGTAAACAACATCAAAAGACAAGTGACAAACTCATAAATATTTGAAATCCATAGAACAGAGAAATGCTAATTTCTTAATGTGTAAAGAGACCATAAGTCATTAAAAAGATGACTAGAAACTCAGTAGAAAAACGATCAAGAGATAAGAGTCCACCAAAAAGAAATTACAAATACCTTTAAACATACAAAAAGATCCTGACCTTTGCTTATGGCAAAAGAAATACAAATTACAGGTATTAAATTATTAGTGAGGTGGCATTTGCAACCCTAACTGGCAAAGATAAAAAGATTGACAACACCATTTGTAATAGTGATTTAAATAAATTAGAACCTTATGTATTTTTGGGGAAATATAAACCATGAAACTTCTAGTTTGAGAAATTCTTTTCAAATTGAGTGATTATCCATTACACACATTGTCACTTCTGATTTCAAACACTCTATTCATGCTCTCCTCTCTTCTGTATCAAGTATCCCAGATTCTGACTCTTCTCAGTTTTAATTTTCTAAGAGAATAAATCTCTAGTTTGGGATTGTGGAGAAGGAGAATTCCTTGGCTGTGCTGGATTTTATTTGCAACTGTTCACATTTTTTTCATCAAATATTCAAGTATTGATGTCCTATTGTTTGTCTGAGACTATGCTAGGTGCTGGAGACTCAGTAGTAGAAAAAATAATTTGCCCTTTTGGAACTTACATCCTAATGGAGATAAACTAAAAAGTAAAATTCAAAGTATATTACATAGTAAATAGGAGTCCGTGGGTGGTGCAAATGGTTAAGCAATGGATTATTAACTGAAAGGTTAGCCGTTTAAACCTACTGAAAGGCACCTTGGAAGTAAGGCCTAGAGATCTGCTTTCAAAAAGTCACATTCTTGAAAATATGTGAAGCACAATTCTGTTCTGCACATTTGGGATCATTATGAGTCAATATTGACTTTACAACAACTAATAAACACATGGTAAATGCTGTGTGTGTGTGTGCAGGAAGGATTTTAAGAAGTGAGGGACTGAATCATTCTTGGGGAAGAATATTGTAGACAGAAGGAAGGATCTTAAGACTTGTGTGTACTTAGTTGGCGTTGGGTGAAGGAAGAGGAGACTAGTAGAAGATAGTATCAGAAGATAAAGGTGTCAAATTTTATAAGACACCAAAAAAAAAAAAAAAAAAAAAAA